TACTTTACTTTATTAAGCAAACAACAAAACAACATCAATAAAACATTAACAATAAAAATGTAACAATAAATGTAAATGTAATGATAAACCTTGACATACATGACCTAATATCTTTTACGTGAAGATAGCTAACAATAAAACATTTATAATAACATTCATATAATTAACATTATTATCAATATAATGTTAATTATATAAGATATAAAACCAATAATAAGAATTTTATTATTCTTATTAATAATCATAATAGTAATCAAAATGACAATGACACATAGAATAGAATTATAGCACCCAAATGGCGAAATAATATATATTTTTTAATACAATAAAGTACAGCAGTCAGGAGATATCAGTATTTTATTGTATTTATTATTGTAACAAAATTTCTTTGCATTTATGTCAATAGGCGATTGGTAGAATTTATAAACACCTGTTACTGAGGAATTTCAATAAAAAAAACTAAGAATTATTGAATACTGAGAACTATTCTCTCACTTAAGTAGATACATATACCACTACAACACGGCGAGACTTCTTTTTCTATCTTGTTTAGCAAAAACCCTCCAACTGTCAAAATTGTTTGATTTTGAATAAAAATAAAATTTCATTTTTGGCCATTTGTAGTGCATCCTCCGCTATGAAAAAATGAAAATTTCATACAAAATTTAAATTATATATTTATTTTTATTACACCCTGCACTCCCCTGAAATCTCCAAAAGCAAAATATATATATATATATATATATATTTCTTCCTTAATGTAAATGTAAAGCATTTATCAATCTTATTACTACACTTTTTAATTAATAAAATTTTTTACTTTCTCCTCCACCTAGGCTATATGTTTTTGCCAAAATCAGTCTGGTAAATGAGAAAACAAAATTTAGTTTTATTTCATTTCCGCCCTCCTCTGATAATCTTTTAAAAAATAAGTTCGCGAAAAAAAAAATCTCGGCCAAAGGTCTATAGAAAACTTTAAAAAAAAAGCTGAAACACTTTAAATCATAGCAATGTCTCCAGGTTGGATGGCATCATATTGTGTATGTGAAATAGATTGTTGCGTTAAAGATTGTATTAAATGTTTGGACTGCACAAACAATGCTTAATTTTGTATTGGAGATGCCGAAGAGCACAAAAAACTAAACCAGACTCGCTCAGAAAATTACACAGGGTCTTCAAAACATCTATCTTGAGCGCAACAACTAAGGGAAAAAAATTGCTTTTTCAATAAATTATAATACAGTAGTACATACATTAGTCCACAAATTTGCTGCAAGCAATGCCCAGGTTGTTTTACAGGTACTGTAATGGGTACATTTATTTATCAATGCACAGCTAGTGTGAACAGCAGTTGAGAAATGCTTCCAAATCATTAGTATGAACAGGATTTTTCTCCCTGTCTCTACTCCCTATCATTATTCAGCTTAGTTCACACTATACATTCTCTTTGACAAAAATATTCAATATTTTAATATTCAATATAACATTTATTCATCCACATAAATTCAAAAGTATAAGATTAATCATTCAAAGTAAAATTACAAAGTGGACAAGGGACAGTTAAAAAGCAGAAGGCTTGTCTAAATTGCCCCTTAACAAAGACACAAAAAAAAGGAAAAAAAGCTGTTGTATGCCCATATATAGTCATGTGCATACACATGGTCAAGGTATGATGTCATGATGACCATATTTAGGCATGATATTTGATAGTCTGGACAGGGCTTTAAAACCTATTCACACATGCAACATTTTAAAAGAACTTTCCTAATATTTTTTCCATGTTAATCACTACTGTCTGCAAAACATTCAGTACAAATGTCAGTTATCATCACATCTTTTAAGTGCTGTAGGTTGTAGAAGACATGCTATTTCATCAAAAATAATACACTACAGTACTCTACACTACAATATCTACATATGAAATTAAAACTTTAATTAGCAATATAAACTCAATTAGAACTTTCGTCAATAGTGAAATGCTTGAAATGTACACATACTGTACCTTTGTTAATTTTAAGAATGCATCTTGTGGCGGGCTTTACATTTAAATTATATTTTTAAAAAATCAATTCATTTGTCAAAACTAAATGAATATTAAATAGATTTTGATAGCAATTTCAGTAAAAAATTAAATATTTTGAAATATATTATTATTTAAGCCTAAGTGGTCCAGAGGCGGAAAACAGAGAATGTGCCCATGAATTTCCATTTACTAGACCCCCTAGTATAGATCAATCTCTAGAGCAGAATCTCTCAATTTCATGTCATTACATAATTATTCTATTAATAAAATGTCCACATTAATTTACAAGTTTAATTGGTTTTACTAGCCAGCAGTAAATCAAAACATGCATCTTAATATATGTCCCCATACTCCACTAGCGCTTTACGTGGCCCCAGGGTAGGGCTGAGGCTGCCACTGTATTGCCTCCCTAAAAAGACTGAATCATAATTTTAATTTTAATAATAACAATAATTTTATATAAAAATGTTTAAATCTAATTTACTTTAAATCTACACCTTTTAAATATATTTCAGATTGTAACGTCCAAAATAGATCTTTTAAATTTTACGATCAATATTATATTTAATACATTTTCGGCTAAGTACAGGTGTATGACCAGGAGGTATCCAAGATCTCTACTTCGGTGTTGAGCATTAAGCTAATGGAAGGGTATTAGCCAGCCAGATAGTACATATTATTACATATATCTTAATATTGAAACATGAAAGCTAGTTTAAATACTAATTATACTACATTATATTAGATTGATATGTAGGATCAGGTTTAAGATAGAATTACAATGTTACTGTCTTATAATGCAACTGTAGCTAAAGTCTGCTCATCTTAAATACACAAAAAAAATTATTATGGAATGTACCAATGAGACAATTAAATTCTGATATAACAATGCTAAATTTTATTTAATGGTTATATTTATCATTCAAATAAATTATGAAATATTCCAGTACAACAAAATAACTTCTTGTCCACAGTTTACTTATAGTTTCTGCCTTAATATTTTATTTTACCCTAGCATTACATTTACTTGACCTACTGTAATCCTTAGTACCTACAGCATAAAGCAATTTCTCATATTTAATATTTTTCAAAACAAATGTTGTAAAAAGAAATCAAAGGAAAATGAATTAAAAGCATGGTGTATTATGTAAATTAAGAAATGAAATAAATGGAGATTTGAGCCAATTAAAATTTTAATCTCAAATAATATTATAATCTTACAGTACACCTTAGGAATTATATTTAAGGAAAAACTGAGAAGGTGCAACAAGGAACAAAAACTAATAAATTAAAATCAAACAGATAACAGGAAAGACACAATTTTTTAAAGAAACCAAACCATGGTAATGATACAATTAATTAGAATTAAAACATTTAATAAATAAATTAATTTACTTGTTTAAATGCATGCCCTTTTGAAAATAAATCCTATGTTAGGATTTAGAGGATTATCCCAGATCACTAACACTCGACACCATACTTTCTTGTTTTAATTTCCTGTCTATTTTTCATGTTTATATTATGATATCAACTAAACATAAAACATACATTTACAAACTTATAGACCCAACACCATGCAGGTACAAGAAGACATTTCGATTCGGGAAAAAGTCCCATTCTTTCTATGAGGTAAGTGTTAAATTGCTACGCATTTTTCTTTAAGTAAATGATCCATTATGTCTTTTATACTACCTCTATTGATTAATGCACACCAACTTTTTTGGATAGCATCACATTTTGCTTTGCAGAATTTAATTGGTTGCTTCTCCATATAACATGATCAATTTCCCTATTTAGTCATTACAACATATCTACATAATATCTGTATCTAGCAAACTTATATTATCAGTGTTTGTTTTTCAGTATTTTTATTTATTACTGGTAATGATTATTACTGCACATTAGCTATCATAAAAAAAAATCAATTGTGTAGTATGGTTCTTTAAGAACATAAAATAGTGTGTAAGAAAGTGTCAGTTGTTGCTCAGAATTGCTATGGATAAGATGTGAAGTATCTCCTCCAGTGAGAGAGAATTCTGTATATTAGCTTTATCTATGTTTGAGTTGTTTTGTTACTGAGGATAACCAGTGAATTTTGTATTGTAATTGATTAGTTCTTGGCTTCACATCACCCTACCATAATAATATGAACTCTTGGAATGCAAGTTTTTTGTGAATATGGTGAACATTAAAGAAAGTAATGGCATTGCACAATAGTATTTGAAAACTAATCAAGGAGAAAAATGGTGGAAACTTTAAAGCGATTTAATCTAAACCTGCAAAACTAATAATTATTCAGGTCCTAACATCAATCTTGGCAATATTGCTAAAATGTTTATCTGATCAAATCTAGGAATGCTACTAGCAGAATATAGATTCTACAGAGATATTGTTCAGATAAAAATCAGAACATATTTCTCTCTAATATTTCAGTAGTTGAAAGATTATTGGTAGGTTTAAAAGGAATGCATAGAAAGGAACTTTTACTGACAATCACAGCATGTGGTAATCATAACAATGAGCACTCATAATCTGGTTTATTCCAGACAATATTACGTATCAAGCAATTGGTATATGTATTCTCAAATGGTTTTGAGGGAATTACTATTTGCTTTATAAAGCAATATAATAAAGCAAATACCTCCTTTTGGCATGAGCATGCGACCTGATTGTTTAATTATGCTACCTTTTGTCTAACCATGTTAAGCCTAGAATTTCATGGTCTATGATTTTGGTGTCATTAGTAAGTACCATACTGGGATCCTCAAAAATAAATTGTAGGCTATCGTTGACTGGATGCAAATTACCACAGAGAATGGGATGGAGCATCATGGTTGGCTAATACTGTAATTGCCATTTGGTTTATATATTTCACAACAATCAACTTACAATAAAAAGGAATTGCTAACTGATGGTGTCAGCAAAATCACCCAATATCAATACTAATATTCACTACAGAAAAAAATGTGATTATAATGAGGCTAACCATCCCAAAACCAGCATAAGTGACCTGAAAATGAATATATTTATATTCCCCAAACTGTAAGCTTTAAATTTATGGGTCACTTATTAGAATCGACTTACCATTGCCAAAGTTATGAGTAAAAGTATTACAGCTTCTCTGTACTAAAGTATACAATACTGACACATTCTTATGCTATTTAACTCTAGCTACAATACACTGGTTTTGGGATAACACGCTTCATAAAAAAATATACGATGACATGCCTCCATTAGGACCACTGACTCAAATATACTGTATATAGGTGATGTTAAGATGTATCAATCTAAGCATATATTATCTATTTATAAGATATTTCTATTTGTAGTATGTCTAGATAAGAATTATATTATAATGTCTTACAACCAATCAGTGGAATGGAAATCAAAGGATGTTTACATTTATAATATGATTGGCAGGATTTATGCAGACTCGCGGTAAATTATCGGACTAACAATTAATTAAGATATTTTTGCATTGAGTCTAAATTCTTCCTGCTCTAGCGTCAGTAATAGCACCCCATATATCGAATATAATGTCATCTGGAAAAGCGAAGTCGCCAAGTTGTTGGTCCAGGGCGGTTTGAAAATCTATTGGCGACTTCTTGTCTTTGCCAAGATCAACCATAGTGCCAGCTGAAATGAAATATATAATAAATAATTCAAAATATTAATTACCCAATGGGCAGGTACAGTAGGTAGGAGAATAACCCATAACTTGCAGCGTTATTGTGCTGAATTGTGTATGGGCGTGGTCTGTGACTACCTAGCAGCTGTAAACAGGCGCTTCGTGGTAGCCACAAGTTCACATCATTTCACAACGACAGGGGCTGAAATGAACCATCACATCAGGGTAACCCCCTACCTTTCCAAAAAAAATGCAATGGGTTCTTAAAGTGTACACGAGCCAGATGCATACACTGGACCTCCATTTTAAGTCCTTATCCTAGAAGACTTGGTTCTACCAACCGAACCATGGGTGAGGAGCGGCTGGAACCAGTGCCGATGTTGAGGCTGTTGCTAGCGGTGCCCCTGCTAACTGCTTGGCCACTTGACTCGCCCTCAATGCAAGGGGTTCAAATCTCAATTTGTTATAATACAAAATAATTTTGAGTACATTAATGAATCAGTCACAACCATGTGACACAGTTTATCAATCTAAAGTTAAGGGTTCAAATCTTACATGTAGTCACATGTTTGTGTCACTGAGCAATGTACATTAACTTTTATTAATGTTAATTAATCTAATACCCCTTTTACACTGCAAGCAAAACCTCCAGACACAACCCAGGATTTTGCAATACCCGGGCTAGAAACTCCGAGTTGTGGTTGGTTTAAACGTCAAAAAATACAACTTCAGTGTTGGACAACCCGCCTGCATTCCGGAATCGCCAGTGTAAACAACACCGAATTCGATTCCGGAATTAGGCCTTAACTGGTGCTTATTACAGCTGTGGTCAGGTAGACCTAAACTTTGCTAGCAACAGGCTAGGCCTAGACACTTTTCAAATTAAACTCCATGTGCTGTAAATGGGAAATGTACCCAGGATCACTCCGGAATTAACAGAGGTTTATTCTGCCTTAGCAGTGTAAAAGGAATATAACTGCGATTCAATCAAGTGTCTTTGATTGGAGTTGTCTAGTTTGTACTGTATATATTTCTTGAGTATACTGTACATGGACACAGTACTATTCATCTATAGTTTATTGTAAATGTTTATGATAGGCTATGTGCATACTCTTCAAACTCTTACCCAATTCTTCGTCTCTTATTCCCATGAAGGATTCCAACAAATCATCTATTCTCTTTACAGCTCTCGTCTCCCACTCCAGAGGCTGAAAATTACACAAAAATACAATTAAAAGTGATTTACTGTATGTATTTATCTAGCACCATACTCGGCACATTTTGATAAATGCCAAAGGTTGTTGTAGTTCTAGTTGTATATTAGTCTTTTATTAGTTTTAAACAAAGAAATACATTTTTGGAATGTTTATTGTGTTTACTGTATACTGTAATAGGCAACAGTTTATATGAGCGCAGTTGGCACAGTGGTTACGTCTTGGACTCTCCGCCTTCAAGTCAGAGGTTCGAACCTTTGCTGTTAATTTCGCTTCAGTTCTTGGGCAAGGCACTTTACCTATTGTCTCTCTCCAACCAGAAGATGATGTGGCATTGAATACTGTATATCAGTTTGTATCAGCATTAAATTGCAATCAGGAATACAGTAGGAATACTCCCCAGGCAGTGGAAAAGTTTGCACTTTGTGCTGGTTGGATTCTGGATTTCAGTGTTCTCCCAACTGAAAAATTTTTACTGGTAAAGTTGTCCATAAAAAATTGCAATGCGCACAATGTGAGGTACGTTACCCCTTTTTAATTGGGTTAAATGTCTTGAAGACACAACAACACATATTCATAGTGTAGATATAGACTGGAATTATGTTAATTTATTAAGAGGGCCAGTCTGGACTACCTAAGCCTAATCAATAGTTTTTTTTATTTTACCAACTCAAAATTTTTACTGGTTGGTTGGTTATTTTTACCGGTAAAATTGACGGCTAAGACGGCTTCGGGAGAACACTGGATTTTATGACCATATTTATAGTCATAGGCGCCCTTTCATGCACAACTACCTAGTGGGTCACCAAAACATTTTGGTGGGTCACACTACAGTGAGCTCTAGTCTGTCATTTGTTGGAACATATTGTATTAACAATAGAGTCATCAATTTGTATTTGGCATAATACATTGCAGCTACTGCACCAAACCATTACCATTGTATACATTACAATTTTCTTGTAATATTTATTTTTGTTTACCGGTATTACATTGTTTCCTTTTGTATCTATCTTTAAAATCCCTGTACCGAAACCATGCATTAGGGGTAGCTTTTCAAATTAGGCATAGGTCGATAAGGGGTCAGTGGGTTGCAATTCATGTCTTATTTCCCTAACTGGGTTGTCAGTCTAAAAGTTTGCAGGACACTGCTTCTGAACTGATAATTAATCAGGGAAAAAAAGGTTTAACTGCACTTTTAAAGCCATTGCTAAAAATGACTCCATATGTGGCAAAGACAAGCAAAACCAGTCACTCATCGCAAAGATTGATTATTAGTTATTAACACTGGGTTAAACAGTAAAAGGAGAACTTTAAAATGGTAAAAGAATCATTTAAATCCGACATTTCATTATGAAGCTGTTTAAAGAACAATATTTGAAAAATCTCTTCTCGGACAGAAACCATCACCAAATTGTTAAAAATTGTTGTTTTAACATTGAAAATGGGGAAAAATAACAGCATAGCATGATAGTTAGATATACATGTTAGTTTAATGCAATAAAATAGATTTTAAAAATGTTGACATCCCAGGATGTTTTGGTCATTATCACTGAATCAGGATTTGCAACAAGTGACTGCTTTGGCTTGTCTTTGCCACATACAGGTACACAGTAATCTTAAATGTTTATATTGTTTATTATTTCAAAAAGTATTCTGATTATCTGATATCAGTAGACTTTGAAATACATTATTAAATTATCAATTGACATATGAACTACCTCAGTCAAGATCCCCACTTTACACAACAGATTTTATCCTACACTTCTACAGTACCTCTATGTGTAACACAATGTACAGTAATGACAGTATAAAAACAGTTTCATTTTGTTGTGCTATAAAATTCACTGTTATTGTCATATTGAGATATTCACCAAAATAGGTTAAAGGCAACATTTTTACAAAATTTTGATTTTAATGTTTTTGAATAACTTAATACTTATATTTCATGATTGTGTACTTTTTAAGTGAACTTTCTTACTAAAACAGTGTTCTCTTCGCATATTCTGTAATTCTAGTCCTATAATATTTGTACAAGTTAGTTTATCTTTGAGGCTGATTTTCTCAAAACCTGGTTCTCATACACCACCTAAACTTTAAATGTTCACATCTCTGGATCTATTTATCCTAGGGAAACCATTCAGAGACCAAATTAAAGCTTATAATGTGATCCACCAAAATGTAATATAAACTCATTTTTTGATTTTCTAACAATGATACTCATTTTGTAGTGAGACCTCACATATGTGTACAGTATACTGATATTTAGTGATTGATTTGATATTATTATTTGTCATTTGACAGACCATTATCAAGTCAGCTACATGTGGGGATATTCTTTTCTACATTCAAGATTATACTCTTTAAATTGTATTACAAAACTTGTTAACCCTACAGCAGATATAAATATTTGTTAATACTGTAAATTCTATGATAATTTTTATAGCAACCCTGGATAAAATTTTCCAGAAACAGGAAACTAGCAGTAGCTATATCCGGTTGCATGTGAATACTGTACCCTGGGAATTGATGTTAATTCCTTGTAAAAATATAGCCATGAATAAAAAACCCCCCAAAAATTAAAACACTATACAATATACCAGTACGAAATTTTTAAAACAACAATGCAGCCTGGCATTTCCTTGCTACAACTTAGTCTAGGCTAGTCACAGTAGGCCATTCTTTTCTAGTACTTCATTGTTGCCGGAATAAACGATTGCAATCATTATGACTAACAATTAAAATGCCCTAGATATATTCATACAAGGTAAATTGAGTTTTAAGCTCCTTACAGCATGAATGATGGTAGTCAGCTACATAGTGAAAAAATGTGAAAAATTAGAAACCCTCCTTTAAAAATCCTGCCTATGGGCTTGTACTGTATACCATTAATATATGTAGTACTTCTTATTTTTCTAAACCTTTAGTTTGATAAAATGCACTGAAATAAAAAAAAAGTCAATACATATTGCAGCTAATTGTTTGTTACAGAGTTTCAGGCCAATGTTTCATTATATTTTGGTGCACTTGCTTCAAGTTCTGCTAGACCTGACCATGTGATAGTATGGAATGGAATAATATTTTCAAAGCAAATGCTTCTTGTTTCAAGCTCTATCAAAGTTCTTTTTATTGATTATTTTGTTCATTTTACCTCAATATAATTTACATTGTTCAAATTCTAATCATATTGAATATTAATCATATCCATATGAAAATTCATTGACAATACCAGCAATATTGGTTTTGGTTTATGTGATCAAAATGTAAATGTACTCACAATGGCCTCCACTCTAGCTTGTCCAGTACTCCTTAATCTCAGAGTCTCTTTACCAGTCTTCACCTTATCATCGTTTGGTGCGGTTGCTACTTTCGCTGCCGATCGTGGCTGAATTTGTGCTGTAAAAAAATTAAGGCCGAACTATGTAAATTGGTATAACAAGTTAAGCATTAATCACATCCTACAACTGTATGCTGTTTTTAAGCATTTAATACTACAGTACAGTAATTGATAGACTTTTTATTCATTCCACTTTTCACTAGCGTATATAATAATCACCCCTTTTCCCCCAAACATAAAATAAGATGTTAAATTGTCGATTTGGATTGGAGCTGAATAGCTTGGTGGTTAAGATGCTTGCCTTCCAATCCCAGGGTATTGTAGGACAGTGATATATTTGCCATTGGCAATCCTTGGTGCATGTGTTGTGTGCCTAAAATAAATAAATTAAAAATTAAAAAAAGATACTGCTAATAAAGCCCAAAGAGTTCATGAATATAAACACTATGTTTGTAAAATTCTTTTACAAACGTGAACAGGAAAAACATTAAAATGAACAGGATATACAGTACTGTAGAAAATTTATTAAACGAATATTTTCTCTCTTCTTCAGCATTACACTAAACCGTACTGTATTTTATTGGTGCAGATGCGACTGGGCCTTTAAGCCAAGATAAAATATTCAACTCATTGTTTGAGCTTGATGGACCATATTTCATCATTTACATGAAAACCAGAAATATTTATATTTGCAGTCATGGCTAATTCAGTGGAAATTACAATTTGTTATAAGTGCACTTATTACATTTGTATGTATAGTAATACTGTCTGTTATGTGTGCATGTAGTCTTCATATCACAATTTGCCAACTGGTAAGTACTAAAAGGAAGTATTATCATTATTACTCTTCACGTTTTTTATAATTTTACATTAGGCCTACTTTACACATAATAAACTTTTAGGATATAACAAAAACAAAAAAATAAATAAAAAAACAAGTCCTCAACACTTTACAGTGAAGGTAAATAATTTACATTAAAATATTGATCCTGTATCATATATTTTATGGGTCAATATTTTATCCTGCACCAGTCATACCTGATCTGGGGCCTACCAGCATACAGTAAACCCCTTCCATATCTCCATCCATGTGGAAATGGACCAGCTATTTCATTATTTACAGTATTTAACATACTACTGAACCAAGGCATATTAGAGAATTTTCGTATTTTATATTATACAGATTGTTGATGTTTTTGGTATCAAATATTAAGTTTAATATAGAGTAACGATGAGCAAAAATACATGTACAGTTTAGTGCACCCGAGGAAGGTGTGACGCCATTGATATTACCGTTGATCAAACTGTACTTACTAAATGCTTTTAACGGTTGCGTTATCACCATGGTGAAATTCTGACTGACTGGTAATTTCTTTAAAGCTTGTGCAACTTCAAAATGTCGTGCTCCTACCATTGTTTGACCGTTGATTGCTTCGATATGATCACCGACATTTATTCGATCGTCCTTATCCATCACGCTATTTTCCTTGATTCGTTTGATAAAAGCATATCCTGCACCATTGTCGGTAATCGTCAGACCTAGAGCTTGCTCAGACTTATGAAACGTAAGTTCATCAGTCTGTCCTTTGATGTGAGCAAAAATGAAATCTTCCAGGCCGATTTGACCGCCCAATAGCCTTGTCATGTCCACAATGTGTGTGTTTAAGGTGCAGAATAAAATCTAAAAGACAAAAAAAAAATGTTTCATTAAATTTTAGGAGCGTATGGCGCAGAGTGTAAGGTGTTGGACTTGGTGAGATTGCTTGTGACCTTAGGCTTGGGCACTTTACTATGTTTGCCTCTTTGTAGTCATTTTGTTGCAGTCCGCAAAAGTATATCATGGGAAAAAATTATTGGAAAAAATGTTGCGTTGAATTGACATAGCATCCTGGTTTCCCATCAAATAACCCTCAATCGCTATGTAACTCGGCTTTTACAATTAGTGGAGGTTTTTGGTCCTCTCTATTAAATTTAAAAATTCACTTTGGCCCTCTGATTTTTATGTCCACCCTTGTTGTAGGGTTTCTTGCAAACTCAAACAAAAACGTACTAAAATGTAAAGGTGCAAATTGTTGGGAAAAGAAAGAGAGAAGTAGGACTAGTAATTCCCTGCTGCTTCATTGTCAAATGTAACAAGAGGAGGGTTACTGTCCAGCAAGCTCTCATCTGTCCAGGAGGAATATCTTCATTTTGAAATTGGCGTAAGAAGAAAATGAATCCACTCCACAGATTAGGTCATAGCGTTGTTGACGATAATTAGTATGCATGTACTGTACATTAATAAGCAATTACAGAGTAGAGCTCCGCATAGTACACTATAGGAAAATTATTATACAAAGGTTAGATTTAATGCTTGAAAAAATTTGCTGAGGGTCTGCAAGAAATTTTTGAATGCATTAAAACAACTGCTACTGTATGTACAGTATGTTAACTTCTTGCTAGTTAGGTCTATGCCTACTTGAGCGGCTAGGCCGTAGCTGGCCTACAACAAGCTTGTTCGGAAAGGGTTCAATAGATATGTTACACTAACCAAAAAATCCGAACATTGTAACCGGTCCCGAGGTGGGGAAAGGGGTGTCGGTATTGGGAGAATGCACTTTATTATTTCTCTACATGTAAATATTGGAAGTTAAATTTTATGTCTTGTTGACTCCTGTTGATTGCACTGTATAGCAATTGAACGTTCTGTAGTATTTCTTTAATCTTCTGCCACCCCTCCATCCCAGCGCCATCCCGCTGCAAATAATTACTCCCCCGAAAATTATGGTGAGTGTTTTATTGCTCGCCTGCCATTTTCAAATGACAAGGCCAGAGGGAGCTTAAGAAAACATTCACATTAGAAGAGGCACTTATTGTAACGGGGCAATTATGAAAGCAGTGTGAAAATTGGGGGGGGAGGGGGCCCTTATGGAAATAAATGAAAGTGCTTATGGATCTTGGAAAATTCAAGAGGCACTTTTTGAATGAAAAACGACATCTGCAAACCAAAGATAAATGAATGGTTCTGGTGCAAAAAAAATAATCGTCCAGAGTGCATGGCTCATGACAAGAATGAAGTGTGTATTTACACAACAGCCAATGAAATTAGTGGTGGTGGTAAGCTTATTCGCGCCAGTACAGTAATGTTAGCCACCAGGCCTACTTCCTAGCACTGAACAACTACTAATAGCCTTGGCCACTAATGCACTTTAGTACTGTAACACTTCTATCTTCAAAAATAGTATCTTTACCTATTGTGCACTCCTAACAATATCTTACAATACAATGCTTCTCCTACTTATTACACCAGTTTTTAGCATACAAAAAACCTCTCCAGCAATTTATGAAGACTGTAGCAACTTGCAATGTTTGTTTAAAAATAATTTTATTGCCAGGTTGTTATTCAATTTTAAGGACAGCTCTGTTCATTGCCAGGTTATTATTTTCACTTCTTTAAAGCGATAACTTTTCATTATTGTTATTTGTATTACGTAGTAGTATTGCTTATATCGTTATTATGAAATATTCTGGTAGGTACAACTAATTATAACATGAAAGTGTACAATGATTACATACAGTACGGTAAAATGAGGCTAAATCGTCATAAGTAAAAAACAGCAATAATAATAATAAGGCCCTATAAAAAATATTATTAGTTTATCACCCTATCTGGGCAGGAAAAGTGATGAGGGAGGTTTTTTTTTTATTTTTTATTTTGCTTAAGCCAAATATCACCCTTGGGTTGTTTGCTGGTGCATTGATATTCAAAGTAAAACATGATTTAGATAATGCAAACAATATCTACTAACTATTTAATAAAATAAATTAAAAAAATTAATTTCAAAAATTTCAAAAATATTTTTTTTTTTTTTTTTCAAAAAAAAAATTTTTCTAAAATTTTTTTTTTTTTCCAGTACCATAAAATACATGCGCGCGAGGGTGATAAACTAATAATTTTTTTTATTGGGCCTAATGATAATAATAATAATAATTAAAATGTATTGCAATCAAACATATTTAGTGATTGGATAAAGACAATTTACTGTACAGTACAAAAATAGATAAAAACATTCAAAAAAACAAGACACCAATATTAAGGGGGGAAAACATCAAAATAATAATAAAAATAGCATACAAATTAAATATTAAAAAAGATTGGGAAAACAATATAAAAGCAGTAAAACATTTAAATAAATAAAACTTAAAAGCAAGAAAGCAGAGCCCATGGCAATATTTGATTTGCCTACATCAGGACAATTTCAAAACGATACAGAAAATTATAAACTGCGGCCCACACCTGCTGGCGCTTTGCTAGTCTTGACATTCATTTCACTCCTTTGCCGTTTTGCTTTATGCCTAATAATGCCGCTTTGGTACTTGTCATTGCCATTTTGGTTCACTGCTGTTTTGGTACTTTTCATTGCCGTTTTGGTTATTGCCGTTTTGACCTACAACCTTGAGAAGACCGTTCGAACCAGCGCCGATATTACTGTATGACCGCCAATTCGCCATCATTATTGTCGCTGAACAGAGATGGAGCCACATTAGGCATTTAAAGCTGTGGTTTTTAGTAATAAAAATGCTATTAAAATCGATGAAGCATTGTAAGATATTGTTACAGTAGAAGCATACAGTTGGTAAAAAGACAATCTTTGATTTGAAGATAGAAGTGTTACAGTACTAAAAAATTTCCCTATTTAGTGTTTACTGATAATATAATATTTCAGCTTAAAAAAGTTAATAAAATACCTTTTTAGAAGACATTCCAAAAGCTTCCCCAATTTTTTCGTACAGCTCACGAACATTAGTGAACCCTCGTATCTTTCCCGTTGGGCTGCCATGGGCAAGTTGTGTATGGAACACAAGCTCGGATTGTTTCTTTGGAACTTGCGGAGGTACTTCAGCCGTACCATACACACCTCCTCCACTATTCCCTGGTGTAGCCTTAGGCCTAGCCTGTCTTGGTGGTTGTGCTTGATGGGGAGTACCGCTGCTGCCGCCACCATTTTGGTTAACGTAAGGGGATTCTGGGGCCTGCGCAATTTCCTCTTCATGCTCCGTTAGACCAAGTCCTTTCGCCTTCTTTTCGTTTTTCTTCTTTGGAAAAAGTGGCATGGCAAAGTTCCAGTTTACTTCCCTCAACAAAATACCATAAACCAGATCAATTCATACGTCGTTGTTAGGCTGCCTTTTATATATTTTACCGTACCCTTTTCTCTCTAGGCTAGCCATCGACCGCCACCGTCTTTTTCGGATGATATGATGTGTTGGTATCCCGGAAGTGGACATCCCTAATCCGCATGAAACCCACAATGTCATTGGCTATACATGAACATAATAAAAATTACTAACAAACCGATGGACGTGTTGTAGAGTATTTACGGCAGCACCATTTTAGGAGGGCGCGCTACGTTCTTGGTTCGCAGTTGGTTCGTAGGGTTTGCTACTTTTGCTACAAGATTGTTTACTATTGTTTTTGTGAGTTAAATTTGACTTTGTGAGTGATTTGTCGAATGGGGGTATAAGGGGAGAAAATTACGATATACAAGACAATAAGAGAGGAAGTTACGAAAAACAATAGGCCTATAGGACCTACATGCTTTTCTAAAATGTATTTTGATCGAAGATATGCCGATTAAATGAGTTCGCCAGCATATGATTTTAATTGCTTTTCACCATGTCTTCAGGATTGATTCCATAAAAATAAATAGTGCTCAAATAGGCCCTAGTTAAAATTTGTTGGTTTTTGACATCGTGGTGGCAGAAAGAATTATAAATATGCAAGACGTAGTGTTTCATATAGGCCTAAAGGTGATCTTGTGGAATAATTTAAACTGACACAAAAACCGTCCTAATACCGGTATGTCACTAAATTAATTTACTGAGAAACTGTCCCCCACATATTCGTAATATATATTATTTTTTATTCATTTTCTCAATTCCCATTTATATTATAGTTTCATTTTGCTGTATATAAATATTATGAAGATGTATTCTTACAGTTTCTCTATTCGAGGTTAAATAAAGTTTAAATGAATGATGAATAAACATCCACTTTATCAATATAAGATGGTTGACCGACCTAGCCAACGTTGCCACACCCAAATGGGTTCTTCTATTCATTAGGCCAAATAAAAAAAATATTGCGTTGTCCACACCCAACCGATCCAAATTAATCGAAATTAAGGGTCGGCATTTTAGTTAAATATTTATGAGCTAGAATGGTGTACCTCGCAACGCTAGGCGATGCGACAGTGTTATCGAACATTTTGCTCTTCAATATGAATTTTAAAATAGTCTTTGCTGTATTTTTTTTTTTTTTTTTGGTATTTTCTATTTTTTAGTAGTGTTTGTAGTGGTATTTCTATTTTGTTTGTCAAGAGGTATTGAAGCCTGACGCGCGCAATCAAAAGAGCATCAACAACTTTATGCTGTTGTCTAGAGGGCGGCAGATAATTCCGCTTAAAAAGAAAAGTGGTTGGAAGATTGCATTTCAGCAGATTTCCGAAACATGACAGGAACTGTTTGGCGTTGCAAATTTTTCTAATAAGTATACAGCGTTGTTAATGATTTGGTAACATTTGTTTTGACAATGCTAGATAACTTACTTTCCGATAGAACTTTCTTGGATGACAACAACGCTATATTCATAAAAATTACCCTCCTTCTGAGCCATAAACGCCGAACGTTTTTCAATTATGTAAGAAATTATAATCCGGTTCAGCTTTGATGAAACTAAGGAAGTTCTCGTACTTCCTGAGAACAAATAGGCAGATCTTTCGAACTAAAGTGCTTGATAATGGACCCAAACGGACGTCAATTGATGAAAAACACAACACATTTTAAGAAGAGAACTAACGGATTTAATGGTAGGCCTATGTTTCGGATGTTACTCTTCAACCCATCTTTAGTTAAAAACAGAAAGCTATTTGTACTGAAGAGTAGAACTAACAATCAAAACATTTACTATTTAAATCTTGAATTATTTTCTTAAAATGTGTTGTGTTTTCATCAATTACGCCCGTTTGGGTTCATTATTATCAAGGACTTTAGTTCGAAGGATCTGCATTTGTTTACTCAGGAAGCCTACGAGAAGATACGTTTCATGAAAGCTGAATTGGATTATAATTTGACATTGTAATTTTGTTGTTAATCGTAAAATTAGTACAATGCTAATTATGTTTGTTTTGTTTAGTTTGTTTTTCATACGTGTTGCTTTAATTATTTACAAGTTGTGGAAAGCTGGAAATCATTTATAATTCAACTTAATACATCCTCATCAGGTGCCGTTTTTGATCCATATTTGGTAATGTCTTCGATATCTATAGTCATATTTACATGACCATGTTTCTGTGCCTTTTGCAACATAAACTTCAGTGTTTTCAGTTGCATGCATCTCCATCAATGTTTTGAATTCCGACCATGAATCTCTTTTAATCACGTTTGATTTTGGTCGAAAAGTCATTGTTTGAAACACAACAGAAATGTGTTTATAACTATTCTCGGGCCAATTATTTGTATCACTTTTAATAATTTCCATTAAAAATTAATTTAAACGACATGGTCGACTCTTTAACACATTTGCTGATTCATCTATCAGAGAATTGTTCCCATTATTTTACCTAAAAAGCAATGTCCCGTTGGTTTGACAAACAACTAAGCAATAAAATTAAAAGAAGCAAAACATAAACTTATGAAATTATACAGAACCAATATTAAAAAGATGTGTGAAGCAAAGCACAATGCTTATACCAGACAGATAACTGTTTGGTATAAGCACAATGCTTATACCAAACAGTTATCTGTCAAACTTAGAAGAAAATATCAGTGGCGGATTTAGGGGGTGGGGGTGAATAGGGTGGCTAGCCACCCACCTTTGGTAACCGAGAAAACAAAATATGTTCACTCGTCTTGTGTTTGTGCTTCTCATGTATACATGTTACATGTAGTAGGCTACTCTCGTAAAACATACACTTTCTATTTTAAGGTTAACTTCTTTTCAGAGATGTCATCCATGAACGTCTAGTCGTCTACTAAATCCAAAAAAAAAAGAAAAAAAAAATCTCGAATGGAAGGGGATGCCTCCCCTAAAACCCATGATCAAGGGGAGAGGGACACACATCCCCGAATACTAATGAGGGCGTGGGGGTTGGTCCCCTCACTTTTTGTCCGCAATGTAATAATTTCATAACAAGAAGATGCCTGACCCAGGTTTTAACGAAAGTGTGCTGCACAACCGGTACTCTATCTCTGCCCACATCACAAACATCTGAATTACTTATAATACACGACTTGAGTGCGCGTGCCTTTATTATAATTTGAGAAGTGTGAGAAAAGGCGTGTACTAATAATAAGATTGGTTTTCGGCACATGGTAAAGTAAATTAAAATACATCAAAGACAATTGAGTTTTATTTTCAATGGAACATCACAGTGATTAATTTGATCGATAATGATGAATTTTATTATATATGAGTATAATTTCTGGCAATCTAGAGGTACTATTTCCCCAAATGTTCCCACCTCAGCCCTATGGTGTGGACTAATGGCTTTTAAGTAGGTAGGCCTAAATTAAATACATCAAAGACAATGTTTTTAATATTTATTTTCTATAGTACATCACACATATTAATTAGATATATATGGTAGCCGAAAATCGCTGGTAAAACATCATGAGAAATTTCTTGGCGCTTCATTTTGATATAATGGTGATGTGATGACGATGAATTTTACTATAAATTTTCGCTCAATGGGTGTGGGCTCACGAAATGTTCCCCATACCTTTTGAAACAGATCTGCGCTCTTGTCAAAACCACGCCCACACCCCCCTCTTGGTGCTCCGCAAATCGCATTATCCACCTCCATCCCTCCATTGCTAAATCCTGAGATCCTGAATATAAAGAGATTGGACAGTCTACCCATAAACGATCACTGTCTCCATCCGCAATGATTTTTGGAAACTTTCAAGCAACTATACTGATGCCAAATGTGCATTGCTTAACACATACTATTGTTCTTCTTCAGAAGTAATCTTATGGCAGTATACCATACCTTCCAAATATAACAGGAAATATCTCCACAATATGTGAATTCTGACCGTACAAAACAACTACCATACTTCAGAATATTCAACCTCATAAACATTCTGGTATTGACAACAGTAATAAGGTCCTTAAGTATTGTGCCACTTTACTTTCTATCCCATTGACTGCTATTTTCCAAAAATCCATTGATTCTGATTGTTTTCCGACACTCTGGAAAAACGCAAATATCTGCCCTATTCATAAGGATGGTTCTAGGTCCTCTGCTGAAAACTTTCGCCCCGTCAGCTACAGACACGTATCACAGGCTTTTGATACGTTCTGTCAAGATCTTCTGGTTTACAAGATCAGATCATCACATGTAGCATAATTATCTTCACGGCAGACAGCAAAGAGTTCTTTATATGAGTGGCTTCCTTTCGCATCCAGTGTCCCCCTTCCCCAGTGATCCGTGCTGGGTCCCTTATTTTTCAATGCTATTTCGTTCAATTTTAATTCCCATAGTTTATTATTTGCTGACGATTTGAAGTTGTTTCGTACTGTGCGCTCTGTCAGTGACACACTTCTCATCGAAGATGATCTGGATGTGTTTAGCAGACTGGCCATCGAAAGATGAAAGATATCGCTTAATCCCACTATGCCTTATAATTTCTTTAAAAAAATATCCAATTGTATATGATTATAATTTTAAATCTTGTAATATAAACGAGTTTCTGTTCAAAAGAATATGGCAATATTTGTTGATAAAAAGCTAACCTTTAGAAATCATGTTGACTTCATCTTTGCTAAGGACAATCATTTACTTGGAAAGTTATGGCGTAATTGTCGCACTCTTGATTATAATACTGTAAGTTGTTCCTTTGAGTTTTCTTCAGATATTTACAACAGGGGCTTAAGCCCCCCCCCCAATGGACAGAGCTCGTCGGGCGGTCGGACTAAACAATATATAAGCCCACGCCAAACCAACACATGTCTGTCACAGTCAGAGTGTCATTTCTGGCCATCCAGAGGTTCCAATTCTTAAAAAATCTCACTTGGGAGGGGAACACTATCTCAAACCCTTCCTCCAGCTCGAGCCTACCAGCCCAAGTTTCCCTGTAGGATAGCTCAGCCCCCAGAAAATATATCTTAGAGCTGCCACTGGGTTCAAATCATGTGACAGGATAGGGATTTTTCTCACGACTAAAACTCATCTCCTCTCCCTAAACCTCGTAATGTGACTTCGTTGATAAAGATAATGTTATTTCAAACACCTGTACATCAGCCAAACTTCTAGGATACCCCTGGAACAGCGGTGGCGCCAGAAATTTGACCGCGGAGGGGTCCGAACCAAAGGGTCGAAAAGTGTTGGTCGATGTCTGGGGCGAATGCGGGGGGGTGCAGAGGGTGCGATCGCACCCCACTAAATTGTAATAAGAAAAATAATTGTTGTATTATTTTATTATTTTGTTGATATGAATCATTGGTAAGATTTTTAAGGTAGGCCTACATGAGAGTTAAATTTCCGGGCATCCATCCATATTCTCAAAATGTTCGCACCTCAACCCCAACCATGTTAGGGCTGAGGTGGTAGACTATCAGAAAAGGGTAAACGTCCAGGGGTGGCGCCAGGATTTCCCGACACAGGGTCCGAGGTCTCAGATAGAGGGGGGGGGGCGATGTCTCCGATGAGGGGGAAAATTTTCCCGACGAGAACAAAGTGGGCGTGGTCGGACGTCGCTTTAAATAAAGTGGTCTAGGGGCTAACCCCCAAAATTTTGACAATTTAGGGGTTTGAAATGCTTATTTAATTGATTTCAGAGTCTACTATAATTATGTAAAAAATACTTTTTTTTCTCCCCGACGAATTGCGGTTTCT